CACTCACCGAGGCAGTGTCTACACTACATGGCTCCGTCGACGGACCCATGTAGATTAGACAGATCGGCAAAGGGAAATGAAGCCGCGATTTAAATAATTGTGGCTTCATTTAAATTTAAATGGCTCCCGCGCTGAGCCGATAAACAGCTGATCAGCTGTTTGTTGGCTCAGCGCGCTAGTCTGGACGCTCCTGCGCCAACATGAAAGCCCTTTATCGACCTCCCCGTTATGCCTCATAGGATGAGGTTTACAGGGGAGGTCGATAAAGGGCTTTCATGTCAGCAGGGGAGCGTCCAGACTAGCAAGCTGAGCCAACAAACAGCTGATGAGCTGTTTATCGGCTCAGCGTGGCAGCCATTTAAATTTAAATGAAGCCGCGATTATTTAAATCGCGGCTTCATTTCCCTTTGCCGAACAAACAAATCTACATGGCTCCGTCAACGGAGCCATGTAGTTTAGACATACCCCGAGAGGATGCAGTTCTAGGGCACAGCACCCAGGAAACCAACCCCCAAACAGGATCAATGCTCCCAAATAAATCCACCTTTCTCTGTGTAAAAGTTTGACACAAGGAAAGCGCATGAGGATGTTCGCCATCTTTATCAAGGCAAGAGAGATATGCACACTGGGAACAATTATTTACACTGGGCCTGCTAGTAAACAAGAGTTTTTTTATTAAGTTCAAACAGCAAGATTTAAGTGGTTGCAAATAAAAACAGGGAGATCAAAGTAAGTTACTAAGTTAAAATGAAAAGAAAACACAGCCAGTTCGCTGAAAACTTATTGCAAGCAGATTCCGATCCTTGTCCTAATGAACTGTTCTTGTTCCAGGCATAATCTTTAGGTCAGAGATTCTTTTACCCTGACCTGGGTCTCCAGCCCTCTTCGGAGTGTGTCGTGCCAGTGTAAGACCAAGGACTGATAGCTCCCCCTTGCTTAAATAGTCTTTCCGCAGTGTGGGAACTTTTTTTCTCACATCCCCCTTTCCCTGGAAAACTATCAGGGTTGAAATGGAATCCTAGTACCAGGTGGTATGATCGCATGTCTTATTAGTCCAACCACCTTTGGACTTTCAGGACAAACAAGGATATTTACAAGTCGTTAAGCTGATCACCAAGTCGTGAAGGCTTCTGGCGGGAGGGGAACACCATTAGCACATTTAGAACTATAAACAGTCTCATACTTTGTATTTCTGACTTCACACACAAGAACGATACATGCACCACAATGCGACGTTCCGATCCAGCACATTGTAACGTTAAAACCGAGAGGTTACATGAGGCATGTTGTCTAAAGCATCTCTGAGCAATTTTATACTCATAAGCCAAACATCAGAAAGCATGGGGGCAAAGGGGACCCTCACATGGAGCTATTATAGCTCCTCAGTTTTCCCACACAAAAGGCCTTTGGCCGGCAGGACAGCAGTGATACTAGAGATTTTCCCAGTGGGGCTGTGTCAGCTAAAGAGGTGGCTTTCCGCTGGGACATCCTGAAGAACCTCCGTTCACAGGCAAGTTGCCAGCATCACAGAGTTTCAGCTGGCGCTGCCTTTCGCACGCTGCCCTATGGGGCGGGGAGGGAGAAATGTGATTTTCATCCCAAACAATCTACTGTTTACAATTGTCCTTCTCTGCTGTAGCTCAGGGCAGGCTGACGGGGCAAAGGGAGTGTGTGTAAGTGGCTAGAGCAGAGGACTGGGTGACAGGGCTCCCATGTTTCCTGTGATCTTGGGTCAGGTCACTGCAAAGACTCCGGGCCTCAGTTTCCCCACTAGTGAAACCGAGGCTTTTGGCTGAAGAGCGTATGACAGAGATGAAATCCGTGTTTGGTGTAAGCGAGTCATGGATGCAAAGATGAACCGGCTGTGTCTTGCATGCCAGTCTGCGGTGAAAGGAAGCGGGCGTGCCCTGGCATGCAGCTCCAGCAAAAACTGCGGCAAACAAGAGCCGGGAGCTATTTAAAGAGCTGCGGGAACCCGGGCTGTGCTAGGACAGGACCTGTACAAAATGTTAAATTACTGTCACCGCTGGGCTGAACCGAGTCACATGAGCCGTAGATGTTCCCCAGGATCCCTGCGCATCCCAAAAATCTGCTGGGTGTTTTTCCCGAGAGGCCTCAAAACACAGCAGGTTCGCCCCAGGGCCCGGTGCAGCAACGTCCAGGTGGACACGTAACCCAGCTACTTAGCAGAGGGCTCCGTCTGGAGTGCTCACCTGTCCAATCGGTGCTGATCTTTCCCTGGCCTCTTGGCCTGTGCTCATGAAAACAGCTGTACAAGGAGTTCCAGGCCCCTTTCCCCTGCCAGGCGGCTGCCTTCTAGGGGCGGTGTGCCCGACTCTGCTGGGTCCTCCGGAGTTAGAATGAACCGTGTCTGTCCCCAGCTGGATTGGACGGCCCAGTTCCCCATCAGGCCCTGCCGACTGAGGCTGCTTTGATGGGAGACTGAGCCCAGTGGAGCCACGCAGTTTTCTAGTCCACCCCCATTGCAGGGTAGTTCAGAATCGGCCCGGATGCCAAATCCCTTCTGCACAGACAGCGCCTCTGCTTGGGAGCCAGTCTGGTCCAAGTCAGAGCCATTCTGCTGGCTGCTAACCCTGCCCCTGTCGCGCGTTGGACGGTGATCCCATGGGGTCCCTGACGCTCAGCAGGGCCGGGGCTGGCCGGCAGAACCAGAACCAGTGAGGGAAATGCCGACAAACCCGCTTTCTGTGGGAACACACAGTTCAGACTAACCTGAAATGCGCCACCGAGTGCAGCGGCATTTCAGTTTGGACGCAAGCTGGGGGCAGGAGAGTTCTGACAAGAGTTTGGTCAAAACGAAGCATTTTGAGGAGCTCGGTTTTCCTGCCTCCTGCCTCGTCGGGGTTTGCTTTTTGGTTGCTCTTTCCTCACAAGCGGTAAAGCAATGTCCATGCATAGCGCTGCTGTGAAGGCTGCTCTGACTTCATTGGGTTTATCCCAGTCCTGACACCAGCATCCCAGACAAATGTCAGCACCTTTCTGCCTCCACTGTGCTTCCTACCAGATATGGCGCCCGTCACGTCCTTGTCGTGTTACTTTGCGCATTCCGACTCTGCCGTGCCCCACTCCAGAGGCAGCTGCGTTTCCGTGATTCCTGGAGGTGTCGTGTGTAAAGCGATTTGGGGCGACGTCCCTATGGTTAAGGTCCAAAGCACAAATCAATGCAAAGGAGGATTTTTCTGAGCCGCTCAGTTCAAAGCTTCCCTTTCAGCGAGTATTCAGCAGGTAACACCCAGGTGTTTTACACATGCTGAATTGCAAATTGTCCAGCCCCAAACATTTGCGTTTGGTCAAAATGAAGCATTTTGATGAGCTTGGTTTTTCTGCTTTTGGTTTTCAGCAGCTGGTTTTCTTCTCCAAGGGGCAAGTTTGGGGATCCTAGGATTACATCTGGATGCCCCTGTGGGTTGTGACGTGTGTCTCTTCTATTTGCCGGTGTTTATTTTGAGGCAGATCATAGACTTCTCTCCGAGGCGGAGGAATCAGCTTTTGGGGATGGGTTTGGTTTGGTTTGCTGTGAATTGGTTTTCATGACTATTGAAAACCAACCTTCTCTTCCAGAGCATTATTGTAGGTCAGCTGTGGGCAACCGAGGCTAGAAAGTGGGCTGTATGAGTGGCCCTCCTGCATCTCCGCAAGATTGTTGTAACCGTGCCCGGTTCTTATAGGCAATGTGCAGGGGGTGCTGACGGAACCGTGGCAGCGCTGTGATTGGCTGCAGAGGGAGCGCCCGGCTCCCACAATGGTGAGTCATCAGCCCGCCCCTCACTTCACGTGCCTTTGCTTTACATGTGTGTCATTTTGGTCATACCAGTAGGGAAAAAACCCCCGTGTGGATAGAAACCCACGGAATCTGGTAACCCTGAGTAACCCACATACCTAGGCTACGTCTACACTCCAGGCTTCTTGTGCAAGAACCTTTTTGCAGACAAGATCTTCTGCAAAAAGTTCGTGCACAAGAGCATGTGCACACCTCACGGACGATCTTGCACAAGAAAGCTGTGATGGCCGATCACAGAATGGCCACCAGAGCACCTGTGCTTTTTCCGATAGGCTGTTTTTGCGCAAGAAACCCGTTTGCCGTCCACACACATCCTTTTGCACAGGAGATCTTGCGCAAAAAGGCTTATTCCTTGTAGAAGGAGGAATATATCTTGCGCAAAAAGCCCTCTCTTCTGACAATCTGCTGTACATTTTCTTGCGCAAAAACGTGTTTGCATTGTGGACACTCCATGAGTTTTTGCACAAAAACTCTGCAGTGTAGATATAGCCTCAGTGTGGTTCACCGGCCTATGCAGGGGCACTTAGACCACTTACAGCCAGAGATAAGAGCAAGGGAGCTCTGCAGCCTAAGCTGAGCACTAGCTGGCTTTTAGCTCAAGCTGTAGAGGCTCCTACACTAAGCTCCACAGGTCCCAGGTTCAAATCCGCCTAGGAGCAGTTATACCTGCGTGTGGGCAACAGGAAACAAGATGTCTCCCAGGCCACGCATAGAACCCCAATAAGCTGCCTGTGTCCCTCGGACTGTAGTTTTTGCCCACCGCTGTTGTAAGTCCCCACTGCCTCATGCTAGGGACTGTACAGATATATAGTATGTGAACTGCCCTGCCGCAGTGTAAACAGATCAGACATAGCAGGAGACGGGCTAGCACAGTGAGGCCAGCGGGAGTTTTGGCCTTGAGGAGAATGGAGGCAGGATGTCACCCAGCCAATGGATGAGACAAAGGACTCGATGGGGATAGCCAAGCACAGTCGGATGCTTTAGCGGAGGCCAGGTGTGAGTACGAGTGTTGTGTCTGATGCGGCAGAAATGGTAACTTCGGAGGACTGGTCAGTTTCAGATCCCTCCGGACAGTGAAGATTTTCCCTCAGCCCGTCTGTAACTGACCGATGAGAGTGACGTGTTTCTTCCCCTTCCAGATGCAGCAGCTGTCGACATGGCCCAGTTTGATGGGCAGACGTTGGCCGAGGCCCTGAAGTGGTACCTCCATGAGCTCCCGTGCCCTGTGATCCCCCCGGCGATCTACAGCGACTTAGTCCACACGGCTCAAGGTAATCACCCCATTTGCTTTGCCGGGTCGCGTGAGAGGCGGTTCTCCCAGGGGGCTTCCTCCCGGGAAGGCTTGGTAACCTGGCACGTCACTGCGCCTCGTAAACCGTCGCTGCTGCTGATAGAGCCAGAGCTGGAGTGATCGACGGGGTCCGCAGCTGGAACCAGAGCTCTGGAGGGCTCCCTCCAAACAGCCTGATGATGGGCCCGGCAAATTGAATTGGATCTTGCTTAGCCCTGATAGCGGACAGGGATGAGGTGCCGGGGCGGCTTTGCAAGCATTTCGGTGTCTGGATGTTACCCACCCTCAGCAGCAGAGCGAGAGGCCCGTTGGGGATCGGAACCCCCTATATGCAGTGCCCCAGTAGACATTCCTTACCCTAGAGATGCTACAGTCCTAGGAAATGAGACTGACCGAAAGGGTGCAGCATTTCCCTCTTTCAAAGGAAGCTCCCAGAAACCAGGTGACTTGCCCAGGTAAAGCTTGAACCCCGACCTTCCAACTCCCAAACCCAGCCACTGTCCCATTCCTGGTTACTGCCTCAGCCCTCCGGCTGCTCTGTGCTGCTTGATCCGTGGCTTCCTATTAGCAGCTGACTCTCGAAATGAGCAGAACGGATCTCCCCGCCCCTTTCCTGTCTTCCAGCCCATAATAATCTCTTCAAGCCGCGATGGGCGATGACCCTTCCAACCTCCCGGGATGGATGGGGCGCCTGGAAACCTCCACCCGGTGCTAGGGCAAGGTTAAGAAATCGATCACTGTTAAAAGCAACATCCCGGCCTCCCCTCCCAGCCCCATCCGTCATGTGTCCTGCCGCCGGCGACCTTTCGACCCGCGGGCGGGGGCGCGCACCCCTCTCCAGGGCCCTGCCAGATCCATCACTGGGATGGCCACGGGAGACGGCCGCGACGGGCAGGGGCCGGCTGGCGAAACGTTAAGGACGTGTTCCTCCATCCCGCGTGAACGCCCATCCTCATTGCAGCCGCTCTGGGAAAGGGGCTAGTGCGGGGGCGGGGAGCCTCATTCGGGCTGGGGGCTGCTGACCCACAGAAAAATCAGTCGGGGGCCGCGCACAGGTGAGAAGCAAAAAACAAAAAATAAAAAAAAAACCCTCCTTGAAGTGGCCCCCGACTGACAAGGAGAAAGACCCTCCTCGCGTTCCCCTTGCGCACCAGAGCCTGGGCGATTTGTGTGCTCCAGCCCCACAGCGAGGCGATGGAGGGGGGTTGGCCCAATGTTGGGGGGAGCCCTGAGCTGCAGAACACAGGCGAGGCGGCATCGGGGGTGGAGCAAAGGCGAGAGCCGTGGGGGGCCTGTGAGGCTCAGCTCACTGGCCGGGGAATCGTTCCCCAGAAGGCTTAGGCTCCTCAGACTCCAGGGGATCCTGTCGTCCCATGGCGGGGGGCACAGACCCCTTGGGGGCTGCCGGGGGGGCCCGTGCCCGCTGCGGGAGAGTCGCGGGTGGGCGCCGTGCTCTCCAGCGGGGCAGGGCTGC